ATGTCCACTAAATAAAGTTTTTAAAAATAGTTCATTTTTATAGTACTTTCTACTACCATGTAAAATACATGATTATTATAATTACAGTTAAATATTACATTTATGATAATGGCATGTACAAAGATCATAATAATTACTACATGTGTATAATTGTAAAAGCTCTTGTTTGATTAATCTGAATATCATGTATCTATGAAAATTGCTTCAAAACAATTTTCTTCAGAAATTAGTATTTCATTATTTGATATATCATGTTTAATTTTCTTAACTTTTCTAAGCAATTTTTCATATTCTTCTCTTCCCTCTTCTTCTGTGTCTTCAGAAGATGTAAGCAATTTGTCTTTTTTTAAATATCCTTCAGACACTTCAGCAACACATTCTCTTTTGACATTTTTGTAATAATTTCCTAAATGAATTTGTAACTTTTTTATTTCTTCTTTTTCTCGTAAATATCTTTCTCTTAATGCCTTCAAACGCATTTTTAGCACATTGCAGTCTCTTTGTGCCTTTGTATACAAATATTTTATTCTTTCTGCTGATGTTTGAGTACGCCTAAAAACATTTTAATTTGTATGCAATAAAGTTTTATTGCAAATACTTTCGATTACATAATTAATTACATTTAAAATGCATATTATTTAATGTATTTAAATTATTAAAGTTATTACTTGTAAAAATACATACGAATGATCTCTAGATAAATCACCTTTCCTAGTGTATGCATTTTTAGGTACATACATATCTTTTGTTTTCATTGTTTCATTTTTATAGTTAATGGATTTTTCAGATACAGCAGGTACTACATTTAATACAATAGGTTTTGAAGTGTGTGAAATATTTTGTGCATCATGTTTTAGATGAATATTTGTTTTTTTAATAAAATAAGTCTTTTCTGTTTTACCAGTAACATCAGTATTATTTACAGTACTTAGCATTTGGGTACTCCGATTTATGTTTGATGCAAAAGGCTTATTGTACCTTTTATTAATAGTTATTTTTAATATTGGAATTTTCATTGTGGATTTAATGTCTGATTCTGTCTTTAATGCATTTGTGTGTGTACCATTAGTTGTTGGTATTGCCATATTTGACTTTGAATTAATAGTCTTATCAGCATTAGATACTAATAACACTTTATTCAATTGATTTTGCACTATAGGAACTGATTTTTTAACTTTTGAATAATTTATAGATTGATTTACTGATTCCAAAATCACAGTAGGTAATTGCATCATTAAGAAAATATTTTATTTGTATTCTTCTAAATGCTCATTTATTGCATATTTTAATTTGATTATGTATAATTAAAAACTAATTTGCTCAGTAGTAATGTTGTTGAACTTATTGAAAGTTTCCAATTACTACATTGCTTTAATGCTTCATATGTATTTTTACGTTGAAAATACATATTTTAGTTGGTAATGTCATTAAAAAGATCAGTCACTTCTATAAATTTAATTTAAACATTCTTCAAACATTGTTTTGTTGTATAAAAGAAATCTAAAATTAATAAAAATTTAACAGAATACATTTACAAGTTTAAATTAATTATTATTTTCTTCAGACGTTACGAATACTTACTTAAAAATGTTATGTTTGTGTATAGATACATTTATAACTATTACAACTAGAAAGACACTGTTTTATATTTTAACCTTCAATCAACAATAACGTTAACTATATCGTATAAAATTAAAACTGGACAAACGCTGTAACATAATTCAATCTGTAATCTTTGTCAAATGTATTCTAAATAAAAATATGATTGTTTTGGATCAAGCAAATTCAAATATGTGCATTTTAAAGTTGACGTCAAGATAGACAACATTTGAATTTGTACATAACCGTTACATTTTAAGTTTTTTTTACGCTTTTATTTGAAATAGCCTGTTACATAATTTTTATTGTATATAATAACATTTATATTTGCCGAAAATAATTATTCACACACATATGCACATATTTCTAAACACAACATTCAATGGTCAAGTGAATAGATTTACTTGTTTGCTTGTGTAAGTGTAAACGTATGAGCTCCACGTGTTCTACGTTTCACTGTTTGTGGTTATGTACTATCAAAGATAGTTTTATGATCTTTGTTTACCAATCATAATATATAATATTAGTATAAAAACTATGACAAAAAAGGAGCATAGTAATTTAAATGCATGGAAACCGTTAAAATTGGAAGGTTCTCTACTTTTGACTGATGTCGATGGTTTAATTGGTATTGAAGAATTAACTGATTACCAATTGCAAACGGAAAATAACACAACGGAAATTTTAATTTGTGATGGAGAAAAAAATAGCGAAAAAACTAAGGTAAAGTGGAAGTTATGTTTTTGTAATAATACTGATATTTTTAGTACATGTGATAACACTTGTTATCATGGATAGTATGGTATGGGAAATATGTATGCATGTATTTTGTAGGCACTTTCGAAGCGTAAAAGTTCCAGCAAATGGAAAGAAAGTGATATTACTGAGCCATTATTGAAAAAGGCAAATATAAAAAAATGTAATGAAAAGAACTCTAAAGTAACATGTAAGGAGAAAGTACAAACAAATTTGTCCTCTAAAAATAATTTAGATATTAATTCTAATAATAAAAACCAGCAACATGATGAAAGTAATGTATATGACATTTATGATCAACAATGGAGTGCCTTAGGTGTACCCACACCTATAATAAAAGCATTAAGAGACCAACAGTTTCATCAACCTACTCCTATTCAAGCATTAACTTTACCACCAGCAATACTAGGTCGTAGAGATATCCTAGGTGCAGCTGAAACAGGTAGTGGGAAAACATTATCATTTGGAATTCCAATTATAAATGGTATTTTGGAACTAAAAAATAAGCAATCTAATGTTAAATCTGTGAAAGAAACAAATAAAACTGTTGTAAACAAAGGTTGGATTTGTTCAGAAAATAAAGCAGTAGATAATGATAACAGCTCATCTGAATCTGATTATGAAGAAGACAATGACAATGTTAATGAAGAAAGTATAGGTTGTATACGTATAATTAATAACATAAAAATCAATGAAACAGAGCATTATACACAGAAGCCACTATTTGCTCTAATATTAACACCAACTCGTGAATTAGCTATTCAGATTAAAGATCATCTGATTAAAGCAGCAAAATATACTGATATTAAAGTGAGTATGGTGATGCATGGACTAAATATAAAAAATTTGTTGAATACTAGTCACTACATATTCATATTATTTAGACAGCTGTGGTGTTAGGAGGAATGGCTGCTGTCAAGCAAGAAAGAATATTAAGTAAAGGTCCTGAAATTGTAATTGCTACACCAGGTAGATTATGGGAGTTGATACAGCAAGGTAATCCACATCTTAATCATATATTGTAATGTAAAATAGGTATTTAGCTATTGATGAGACAGATAGAATGTTAGAGAAAGGACATTTCCAGGAACTGCAACAATTGTTGGAAAAAATAAATACGAATACAAAAATGGTAGAAGAAAGGCAAACATTTGTATTTTCTGCTACATTGACTATGGTGCACGACATTCCAGAGTATTTACAAAAGAAAAGAAAGAAGCATGTTAAAAGCAAGATAAAAAGGCTTACACCTGGTCAAAAGTTACAGAAAATTATGGACTTGGTGGGAATAAAAAATCCAAAAATTGTTGATGTTACAAAGGAATCAGGTTGAGTATTTTTACACTAAATATTTGAAAATGATGCAATTGATGCAATAACTTAAAAAATACTTATAATTTCCTTCTAGGTACCGCCAGTAATTTAACGGAATGTAGAATAGCATGTACAATAGATCACAAAGACTATTATCTTTATTACTTTTTAAAAAGGCACACTGGTAGGACATTGGTATTTTGTAATAGTATCGGATGCGTAAAACGCTTAGCTACTCTTTTTGGAATACTCGATTGCAAACCTTTACCGTTACATGCTAGTATGCAACAAAGACAACGGTTAAAAAATCTTGAAAGGTAAATATTTGTCAGTACACATAAAATTTTGAGGTAACTGAGAAAATTATAGGTTTCAGGCGGACGATGATGGATTATTAATAGCTACAGATGTAGCTGCAAGAGGTTTGGATATTCCCAATGTTGAGCATGTGATACATTATCAAGTTCCCAGAACAAGTGAGGTGTGTATGAATGAATATAAAATAGGTTCGCATTAATTGAATGCAACTTGGGACCGATGACGTCGAATTAATTCGTTTTTATTTGTTTAATTCTCAAGAAATATTGAAAATCGTGCTTACCTTAGCATTGAAAGACTTGTATTAGTTCTAAGAATTACATGGTATAACTAACGCCAAGTTAACGCGACCATTTGACGTGCAATTAACATAACCATAGTATTTGTAATTATTGTTTAGAGTTACGTACACCGAAGTGGAAGAACAGCAAGAGCGCAAAAGGAAGGCATAACAGTTCTTATGATGGAACCATCTGAGAAACACTACTATAGTAAATTATGTAAAACACTTGGTCGCAGTAAGTAAATAAACTGAATAATGTATTGATCAATAATTTAAACTTTAAGTATTAATTCAACTGTTTTAATTTTAGCCGAAGATTTACCTGATTTTCCTGTAGTAGATAGACTATTAATGACAGTTAAGGAAAGAATTAATATTGCCCGCGAAATTGATAAATTGGAATTGAAATGCCGTAGGGATAAATCCCAGAAGGGTTGGATACGTAAAGCAGTCGAAGATATGGATTTGGTTCTTGACGAGGATGAAGAGTAAGATTTAACATAATTATAATTACCAATAGTTATCATTTTTTTTGCACTTTTTTATGGAAAAAAAAATGTTATTTCTCAGAGATGAAGCAATGGAAACAAAAGAAACAGCAGACTTAAAGCATCATTTAAAAATAAAGAAACGTCAATTGGCATCCCTTATGTCAAAACCGCTATTTCCAAAAGGATTTTCTGGAAAGTATCCTGATATTAATATGGATGTTGAGTTTAAAGAAGATAACCAGAAAGCTGTTGATATAATGAAAAAAAATATTTTGTTTAAAAATAAAATTTCGAAAAAGTCAAATAGAAAGAAAATGTAACATAAGGAGAAATAAGCATAAATAAATGTTCCATAGCTTTTTTCATATATTTGTTTTATTTTCTGTATCCTGTTTTCTTGAAAAATCGATGATTTCGGAACATTGCTAGAACTTTCCACATAATTAATTACGTTGATCCTGTTTTTCTTTATTTAGAAAAAAAGTTCAGCCTTTTATTCTTAAAACCCTACTTATTCTCGTTACTATTGTTAGTACGCATGGCAAAAAATATGTACATGCAATTATAACGATTTCTAAAATATTACATGTTATTTCATTGTGCTTTTTGCATAATATGATACAGACTCAATTCGTAACTTTACGATAAAAGTAATCAACGGGTTCTCGATCATCAAACACAGCCGGTTAACTTATAATAATAAAATTCTTTGCGTTCAGAATATCGTGTTGTAAATAACTTCATCTTCCGTGCTGATAATCGAATCAATTTGTTCGTTCGTTACCATAGAGTTTGCGTATCTACTATCGTTACTAATCTTGCTTGGCAGAGCCATGGGCGAATCGCGACCTTTCACAACAATTTTGATCCTGGCCATCACATGACTTCCGGGACACTTCTGGACCTGCGCAGCCGCGTTCTCGCAAATTTCCGCGTAAATGTCATCAGCTTTGGTCCTGGTTAATTTGGGCAGGGATGGCACTGGCGTAAGACTATCTCTGACACGTGAATAATTCGGTTGTAACTCAATGTTGGTCGGCATTTCCAAAACGCTTGTGGAAGCCGATCTTTGTACAGGTTGCTTGGAAGAATTTGAATGACTTTGATGAGAGGTAGTTTCGGGCTCCAAACTTGAATAACGTTCTTGACACCTCATAGCGATTTCCGGTTTCACAGCGAATGTGAACGAAGCCGATTTTTTGGCAGGATTTCTACTACGATTGCCTTGGGCGAATTTCGAAATTCGATCTAAAAATCCGTTTCGACAATTTTGCCTTGTCTGACTTTTCTCTCGGACAGTGCTTCGTTTCAATTGTTCCAGTCCGTCCTTTAAGCTTTGCAAGATCGGTTTCGTTTCCGGCTTCGGTTTGATCTTCTTCAAATGCATTTCCTTGAGATTTTCGCCAACTGGATGCAGTTTCAGAGGTGCCACTCTTGGTTCCGTTGCACGATCTCCGACAGCCCGGCTGAAGTGGAAGAACAGGTTAAGCCACATAGAATATATATTTACAAATGTTTTACATCCTTCGAATATCGTGGTAATACGGGACACGGTACGGTATATTATCTTCTATCAGTGATCGTGTATAACGTATTTTTCTTCTATCTGTACTGACGTATGTATGTGTCTGTGCAAAATTAGTTTTGACATATCGATATGGCTTATGATTAATTTCTAGAATGCTAATATCGAGATTTATAAATAGAATACAAAGGTGTAATATTAGAATTGAAAAAGTTCAACAGTTGTGTAACAACAATTGTTAATCAACTGTGTACTTTTACATTTCTTCGATTTGAATAGGTACATATATATAGGAATGTATGTACATGCATACGAATGATTTGATACTCGATTGGTCGACAAGAGTAGTGAACGCATCGACCAATCGATATATCGATCAAGTAGCATTGCGAGTTATTTTCTAAGTTACGCGACTGTCAGCAGCTTCAAAACAAATGCTGAAGGTTCGAAGTTTGTTGAAATCGTGAATACAATTAATACGTATAAAAGCATGTAAATAATAACGAATGCATAACGACGATATAAAATGAATTTACCTGCAGGCAGATAGTAATCGTTGCATTTTCGGCGATGCCAAAAGTCTAGCTTCAGAGGGATAACCTAATCGCGCTCTTCTCACTCTCGGGGCACCATTTCCGGTCACAACCAACTCAAGCATTTCAGGATTGTGAACTGGTCGTTCCGGTACAATGCATCCTAAAACAATTGGACCTCGAGTTGAGCTCTCCAACTGCATTAAGCCGCCATATTCCTTTGGCAGTGGTACGGGAAGCGGACCGGCTATCAAACGAACCTAAAAGTAATAGTATTTCTAAAAAAACAATGCTTATAATATATTTTTACAGTACTTACACTACTTAACTATCATTATATACTTTATTATTTATTATTATGCACTACTTAACTATTAATATTAATTAATATT